GCAGCGGGCCACTGGCTAGGGGACTGTCCCCTTGCCCCCTCCTCCTCTGCTGGGGTCTGCTTCAAGTGTGGTTCCTCTGAACACACCTGTCAACAGTGCCACGCCAAAGTCCCTTCTGGTGAGGGTTTCCGTCCTTACCAACTGCTTTTGCATTAACCTTGGGGACATTGAAATTTTCCTTTATATAATTATATAAGCCGTCCTTTATTCTTAGGTAATACTAGTATGGGTGTGTCCAGAGATTTCATTGAATCACTGTACACCCATCCAAACTTGTTGATCACTGATCAAATGTGTATGCTGTGGGTTTGTCTACAGGAGAGTTTCCCTATGCCAAGTGTTTCATATGTGGTGAGATTGGTCATCTGACTCGCTCCTGTCCTGACAACCCCCGTGGTCTTTACCCCCGAGGTTTGCCCAGCCCCCTCTCATTTGTGCATCTTGATTACCGTGTGACTGTTACACAAACCAATGTCAGGAGGCGGGTGCAAGATTTGTGGCTCTGTGGAACATCTGAAAGCTAACTGCCCTGATGGAAACAAGTCCACTAAAGTGACCACATCCGGTAAGTTTGTCTCTTTCCATGCTGGGGTTTGTATAGCTACACCCTCTCTCTAATGCAGCCGCTACTAGTGAGGCGCGTGGAGGTGGGGTCTCTGCTGTTTCTCTGAGTGCCGATGCTTTGGACAATGAGGGGTCACCTCCTGTCAGAAAAAGACAGAAAACTGGGGGAAAAAGAGCAAAGATAGTGAAATTTTAAATTCTCTGGGATCACTTTTTTGAATACTATATATAATTTTTTGCACCATGCTATGTTACTACGCGAGGTGTATATTATATTTTAGTCGCAAAATTATTTCCACTGCACAGGTATATAGTAAGGACAAGGGCTGCAAGGCAAGTAAAGCGGACATAGTTATAGTGCTGGGTAAATGAACACCACATGATCGCTGCAAGCAAAAAAGAAAAAAATGCAAATACATAAAAGTGAAATATAATTATAGCCTCAAGTTTTGCATTCTAAGATCTCGACACTGTCAGTTGGATGGCCTGATGAGGTGTACCCTCCCACAATAACAAGCCGGTCAACGGGCAGGGTGACAGCGAGGCACATTGACCGGCCAACCTTCATGTGATCCAGAATGTTCCACGAGTTGTTATGAGGATTATACAGGTATACCTCTGACGCATTCTTTCCAGAGATGCTCCTCCCACCAATGGCTAACAGGCGACCGCGGTACGGAACAAGTGTAGACTGGGCTACTGGTACACTGGAGAGCTCTTTCCAAGCGCTTTTCCCCTGACGTGGCCTGGAAGGAGTAGACGACAGGAGATCGGATAGAGTGCATGTGAGGAAGGCGGAGGATGCTCCAGAGTCTGTAATGCCTCCAGCTAGGTATAGGGCACCGTGTTGATGAACAATAGAAATCTCTGACCACACATGCGGGAGTGAACGCACAGTGGTCCACTGTAGAGTCCCGATGTCCATTACCTCCACGGTACTCAAATACCTCTCCGTGGTATAACCGCCAGCTACCACCAGGGCCGTTTCAGTGCTGACGCATGCCACTTTGCTCCGCTGCGTTGGCATGGGAGGAAAGACTGCCTGCCACTGTCTCCTTTTCCCCTCGACTTGTATCAGACTCAGCAATTGGTTGGTGGACCCTCCGACACTGGTCAGTGTACCTTCGATTACGGCCAGACCGAAGTTCCAGTTGGGATTATCAGTCAACGCAAACCAACGCTCTGTCCCAAGGACATTGTTGTAGGAATAGACGTTGTGTGAGTTGACTGGTCTGAAGAAAGCCGTGTCCTCGTGCACTACGGCTGCCCCTCTGTACATCTTCTCTGGTGCATTCATCCCCTCACTCCACACAGTCGTTACCACTGGGACAATTTCCTCCTCCTCTCGCTGTTGCTGTTGATTAGCTGTGCCTGTGGGTTGTTGCTGGTTCAATTCTTGAATCACCTTCTCCTGTCCTGTGACAGTGTCCTGGAGATTTCGGATGATCTCGTCCCTCTGTGCAAGACTGGACTGCAGGACTCGCACTTGCTCCTTTGTCTGCTGCAATTCTCTCACCATGGCGTGCACATTCTCTCGAAGTGTTTTGTCTTTGGCATCAATTTCCCTGTCTCTGCTTGCGATGATACTTAGGTAATGCTCCTCCAAGGCTCTCTGGTTCTCTTGCATTTGCCTCTGCTGATCTTCAATTGTGTGTTCATACCCTTGAATACGTCCGTTGAGTGTGTTGATGGCGATCTCGCTTTCACGAATTTGCACGAGATGCTTTTCAGCTTCTCCTGCCATGACTTGGATCAATTTCTTCTGGTCTTCACATTCTCGTTTCACTAGTTGCAATTCCCGGCTCATTATGCCTTCTTGTTGCTCTCTGGTGCACTGCTTTAGCCCTGAAAGCCTCTCACTAAGCTGCTCGGCCGAAGGGCAGTTTTCACTATCTTTCTGCAGGCACTGAAGGATTACAGGCTTGAGCGGGTTGGTGTCCGCGATTATTTTGAGGTCAGACTGTCGCCGCTTTGTTTCAGGAACGGATACTGTCCAATTTTGCTCAAACTGGGGGATAAATACTTTCTCAGAGAGACTGGTTGGCTGGGGAGGTCTCCTGGTTAAGATCTGGATCACGACCACACCAAAGGAAAAGATGTCGTCCAATTTGGCAATCTCGCCTTTTTCAAGAGCATTAGGGGACATGTAGTGTGCATTTGGGGGCTTGAAACGAAGATCTATAGCTGAGTGCTCAGAGAAACCGAAATCAGTGACCTTGGCTCTAGTCCCAGACACCACCAATACATTGTTTCCAGTGAGGTTTCCGTGAATGATGTCATTGGAATGTAGGTAGACCAGAGCCATAGCTATGTCGTGGGTCAGGTTGAGCTGTGCGTAGTCTAGCAGCGGCCCCGGGGATCGCTCCAAGAACGTGTGGAGATTTTCGCCACAGAGCTCCATGAGGAGAACTGGCAGTGGGAACTTTGGATCACTGTATGGACCGTGGTATTGGACAAGATTGGGATGCCTGGCTGAGCTGAGCTCCTCCCACAGACGATGTATGGAACATGCGTCACGGTCGGAGCTTCTAGGATGGAAAATCTTGGCCGCACATGGTAGGCCATCACATTTGGCCTTGCACACCTCCCCATACACACCACTGCCAAGAGGTTCAGATTGGAACACGGAAATTTGGCGGCTGTAAAACCTTTTCTTCCCTGTGTTCTGTAAAATAGACAATAAGACGAGTTTACGTATTAGTTAAAGAGATAGTGTAGTGAAATTTTTCACTACTTATTTCATGTGATGTACTGCCCTGGTAGCTCAATAAGTAAGCCTGCAGAGTGTCGTGGGTTCGAATCTTACCCAGAGTTTTCCTGGGTGAGACGACCTGCTTACTTTGTCTTTGTTTTTGCCTTGCTTCCTCGTTGATGTTTGCATAGTCTCAGTCGGAGTTAATAGGCACAGTTGCTGATATCGCCACCATGGGTTGTAAGCTGTTGGCCCTAGTGGTAACTCATCCAAGCGACCCTTCAAGAAGCCAGACAAGGCTCCAAGGCACTACAAATGATGTACGAGAATTTTCTCTCTAATTGTTGCATGGAAATGGGACACCAGGTTCCAAAAGAAGGTGATCATAACCCCTGTCTGATGGATGTTGTTGACTATGTAGCTTTTGCTCCTTGTTGTCAACCTATAATGTTGTACCACCCCTTAGTCATTACTCGGTCCAGTCCAGTGGTCATGGTATGTATGTATGAAAGACTGTCACACTCCCGAACTCTACCCCACATAGACAATCTCTCAACACCCGCTATTACTGAATATCTAGCTTCTGGCAGACCCAGATTGGAAACTAGACCGCAGTAATTTGCTAATCCACAAGGGTTATCCGAGTTTCTGTATACTCCACAATTTGTCAAAGAACACTGTGGAGTGGAAGGCACATTAAGGGCGGATGCATGCGCATCTTCTATTAAACATGTAAATGTGCACTTTTCCCGCTCCCATATCAGACCATAACTTATGGGAACAAAAGGCCATCCCCAATGTATGCCTTTTTCAGAGGGTTAACTGCTGAGAATGTGTTGAACATTGCGGTGAATAGCTCACAAACCTTAGCACTGGCTGTTTCCCCGTGATCCTTCTCAGGTAACCTGAGGAAAATAACAAATGTTTAAAAAGGTCCTTCGCTAATAATGATCGTCCCTCTCCATGTGCTATAGTTATTATATTATAACTGTTGGTAATGAGAAGTCATCATACTTTGATATGGGTGTTTCATATACGGCACTTCCTCTGACAACTGCTGGCTCCTGAAGAACTTGTGTCTCCAACATTTCGGTCTCTACACAGTGGGTAAGCCCAATTTCAGAACCACGAACTACCTGTACTATTTACTCACCATCACTGTTTCCTGTTGAAAAGGTTTCAGGGTGAAAGTAAACTGTAGGCCCAGTAACATTACAGTGTATAGGGGCTATATCTCGTGTGGACGTTGGTTCGGGAAAATGAGCTGCTTCCAATCTATTTGCTAGCTGAGGCAAATTGACAACGCGGCTGTTGAGGGCATCTATAATCACTCTCCAAGTGGGCGGAGGCTGTGTCTGCTTCAGAAACTCAGCGAGGACTTTGAGCAGGCACTTGGACGAAATCTGCTCCTTATGAATGGCCTCCAGAACGTGGATTTCCAATTTCAGCTTCAACCCGAGTTCGAAGGAGTGAGTCTGAGCTTCCAGCAACTCCTCCAGCACGTCGGCTATGTCCCTCCGCGACAACGTAACTTCCCTCCCTGCATATAATGTATGCACTTAGCTAGTCTTCGTACAATCAATAGCTCCATATTACCTTCCGCCATCGAAGTGACAGCGATGGCTTCATCCAACCACGGCTGAGCTCTGGGAGTTGGCCGAGAAAGCTTGCTGCCCTCGCTAAATTCACTGGGGTCACGCCCTCTCGGATCGGTCGGGGATGGGGGAATATCTCCACCAGGTGTGCGCATGCACGTAAGTCAAGGGACAGTTAGATGATCCAATTTGCCCTGGAGTATATATAGGTAAGTAGTAGTTATACCACGTCTACTAGGGGGTTATAGCAAATACCCGAAGGAATGTGTTGATAATCCTGAGGGCGCAGCCCGAGGGATTATCACACATTCCTGAGGGTTTTTGCGGAAACACCCGCAGTATAGGCGTGGTATAATTGCCGAGCGCGTTAGCGTGAGGCAACTACTCCGGGTTCTCGCGTCGTCAATTAGTCACGCTTAGGAATGTAAATTAGTCACAAAAGGAAGTGTAACTTCCGTAATTCGTAGGAAGTCTAGCTTCCGCCGTGCGCGAAGTTAAGTCTGGCTTCGCGCGCGCACGAGCTCGCCTAGCTCATATATGCTCAGTACAGTGTGCAGTGCAGTCGACATCGACATAATTGGCGAGCGGGAGCGAGCCAACCTAGTCGTTCGTTCGAGCGGAATTTTCTGTGTATATTTTTATATATATACTAGTAGGCGAATGCATGGCATTTTTGGCGAGCGGAAGCGCGCTTACAATTGGGGTCTAATCGTATGAGTCACTCTTGTGTGTGCACAAAACAGTGAGATACATTGCACAGGACCAAGTAGGCCGAAACGACCCGAGCGCAGTAGACAATTCGAGTCGAGTCAAAAACAGTCAGACGACAGCGCGAATCAGGCATAATCCGGCAATCTGATTGGTCTTGCAGGAATAGGGAACAAGTGGCAATGGACTGTGCAGCAATACTCGATAGCTTCGGAGGTGTTGCGTTTCCCCTGATTCCGCTCGATTCAGGCAGCATTATGAAAATGTTGAAATCCCTTTCGGATAAAAAGAAGCGCGTAATGCTGGAGCATGCGCAGTTGGACGACGTACGGGTACATATATATATATATAATATTATTATATAGAAAAATCGCGCCGTTCGGACCACTAGGTTAGCTCGCTTCCGCTCGCCAATTATATATGCGTTCGTACGTCGTGTAAGTGCGCATGCGCGTATTTGTACGCGCTTCTTTTTATCCGAAATTATTTCAACTCTCCTCCATTCGATCGACGGAATGCGCTCGAACCTTCGGTGACTGACAGAAGCTGTACCTCTTCCCAATCTTCATGGTTCCAAGGTGCAACTTGCATCATACGCTAGGATTGCTCGTGCACATACTGCTGCATACCAGTTGCCAGGTGGACCACGACTGACGAGCTTAAAAGCGTCAAGGTAAGTACTCACCTGCTGCAATATACAATACGCATGTAACGGCGACAGGTAGATCTGTCTTCACGAAAAGATAGCTGTGCACTGACGGCACGTTATGCAGCCCGAACATCGCGGTCAAATCCCAAGTTGGGTCGCTCCCGCTCGCCAACAGTGTTCAACATTTCCACTAGTAATTATAATATGGCGCGCGAGGAAAAATATATGCGCGTGCGCATTCGTAACGGATTGCGTCATCACGTCGGCTGTGGACCTGCCGCTATTTTTAGCTGGCAAGTCGGTCGGGACCTTCTAGGACAGTATTCAACGTGCTTCGGATATCACTTCCTGTATATATTTCACAGGTCATCCTTGTTATTTCACAGGACATCCTTGTTATTTCACAGGCCGTGGAACATGGCGTACCGCGCGGAATATGCCAAATAAACAGTAGGCGGCGCCTTTGAAAATACGCACGACCGTGCTATAATTGTAGTGTGGGATAAAATACATTGGTCAGCAAATGTGGAGACTTTGGATGGGGCCGAGATCGTGAGAGACTTTGGCTGAGTTGCACTGAATAAGTTTATTACAGTAAGTTTTGAAGCAAAAATATAATAATTATATAGAAAGAAAAGTATTTAATCAGCATATGGAAAAGTAATTGTTATATTTAATCAGCATATTATGGAAAAGTAATTGTTGTATTTAATCGGCATATGGAAAAGTAATTGTTGTATTTAATCAGCATAATGGAAAAGTAATTGTTGTATTTAATCAGCATATGGAAAGTAATTGTTGTATTTAATCAGCATATGAATTTTCAAGCACCTCAAAATCTTCATCGGTGGTGGGTGGTTCTTGACTCTGTGTAACAGAGCCATGCATCTGTTGAGAGGTGGGCAGCTCCTTGTTTGAGGTACTCTCGCCCAGGCTGAGGTCCAGCATAGATTCTGTGTTAGAGCTCTGCCGTCTTTTGCCCGTGCGGCTTGAGACTCCAGAGCATGGAGTTGGCGTTGCGTTTATTTTCTCCTCTTCTTCTTCTTCGTCTTCTTCTCGGATTGCGTATAGATTTTGTATGGTCTCCTCCATTAGGTTCATCTCAATGGAGCTGACGGAATCGTTTCCAACGCTAGGTGTCTCGGAGGCACGCTGACTCGCGGAGCTAAAAATGATGGGAGTGGGTGAAGGGCGACTCAGGTAGATGGAACCCATAGATATACGTCTCAGAGTGGTTCTCGATGCTGTAGTTGTTCCGGTTCCCCCACTTGAGATTCCACTGGTTGATACACCAGGTGTCTTCTGTTGACTGATTGTAGAGGTGAACCAGGGCAGTTTGCGTCCACGACATAGCAGCTGCAACCACGACTCGCGTGCTTCTTTTCCCAACACACAGAAGAAGAGGAATATGAAGAAGCCTTGGAGTGAGGTGAATATCGCAAAGAGATACTGGAACACCACTGAAGCGGCCGATATTGTGAGTGCACCAAAAGCCCACGACAAACCAAACAGGCATATGATCCCAAAGCTACTGATGAGCATTTGTCTGACAGTATTGACCTCCTTTATGTCCCGGTTGCCATGCTTTTTTCTGGAGTGCTTAAACAGCACTCTGATCACAATCACAAACACAATAGTGTTGAAGACTAGGATGGCCAGAATGGGCACCAGGAAGGCACCAAACAGCACTCCAGGCTCTCCAATGAAACAACTGAAATAAAGGCATGATCACTAGCAATGCCACCTAGGTATTAGCTACTTACAAATCAGGCTCTTCAGACACCATGAACCGTGGGTCAATTGAGACAGAGATTATCACAGGGAGTAGAGGAGCCACTGCAGTTCCAACAAGAATGTGTCTTTCTGTGCACGCAATCATGAACTATACTTACACCAACAGACAAGAGAGACAATGACGATGTAGCGAGTGGTGATCTGGACAAAGACAATGACCAGCTTCTGGAACATGAGCAGTGCCTCTGCCCCCATCCACATGACAGCCACCAGAGTGAAGTAGTGGATGAGGACCGAGACTGTCACACAGCCCTCAAACACTTCAGTCCTATCGATGCCCACCGCAAACACCACCAGCATGCCCAGTAGAGCTAGACTCAGTTGTATGTGGAACTTTGAGGCATCTCGTTTTCGAAGTTTACTTAGTGGAGAAGAATTAAAAATTAAAACTTCAAAACACAGATCATAATATGAGCAGTTACCTGAAAACCAGCATTGTAATTATGGTAATTATGAGCCCAAAGATTGAGAGAGAAACACCGACGTAGGAAATGATCTCAAGAGCTGTCTTATCAACTTTAGATTGTTCACAGTCTCCCTCAGTTCTGGAGCATACATCCTGAAGTGGGGGTTTGAGGGTGTATATACAGAGACTACAAAATGTATATTTACTCACAACTAATGCAGCAAAGTTTGTTAGATGACTGCAGTTGCATTTAACGGTTCTGGACACCCTGTCCAGGGTTGTGTTGCATCCTCTATCTGTCCAGTTCCCTACACCACCTGTGTGATATTGGAAGTAACTCATCAACGTTCATAAGAGCTGCACATAATAGCGAAACAAACCCGAAGCTTCAAAATCCCAGCTGACACATGCTGCATTTTCAGCCACTTCATCCTCCTAAAGTGTTTGCAGTAAGTTTTCCAAACTTCATTTCTTAAACACATGCTCACTGTGTTGATTTCCAATTGAAAGGTGATTATAATGGGGTCCAGAAGGTCTGATATGTTAGGTATACCACCAATCAGTGCGCCAATGACTGAAGTACGAATCTGTAGGTCTACACGAGTCCCATCGGCCAGAGGAAAGAGGACGGGGGTCTCGAAGAAAGAAAACACCAATCCAACCCCTCTACCAACAGAATTGTTAGTGACCCTGTCAGTGCTAAACAAGCTCCCTGGGAGCTGTATTGAGGCCAGGACGCCATCAGTTACTCCTGGCAGTGTGGTAATGCCTACATGGTGGGGTTTCTAAATCTTAGTCTCACAGAACATCATATTATTTACCTGTGTCGTTTCTTGTGGCACCAAATTCTCTTCCACTTGTTTGGAGCTGCTCTATGTTGTTCTTTTAGAGACAGCAGAAACAGAAGGTCGTCACACACCAGTTGTGTTAAAAGTCAACACTTACTCTTTCCACAAGTAGGGCAGATGTATCGCCCTCAAAACGTAACACTGTAACGTTTTCTTCGGTTCCAATCTCTTGATTTACCGCCAGAGCATTTGCCACATTTTCTAACACTTCCACCACACTAAACAGGTAAAAAATAGAATAAGTAGGTAAAATAGACAGTTTCCCCTTCCCTCTCAGCTTAGGAAAGCGTACTTTATGTTATTTGTCATCTGAATTTCGTCTTCCTCCCAGACTTGCAGATCATCTATTATACTTGACACCGACCTAACAACCTTGAAAGAATGACCATGTGGTGTTAATTAAATGCCATAAAAGCCACCTCATTACTTTGTACCTGTCCCAGATCTGTATCATTGAGGGCAGCGTTGTTGACAATATTACTGGTGGCGTTGAGTACATTTGTAATCACTTCAAAGTTTCTGCGAGATTGGTCAATGGTGTCATCTGTCATATCCACCAGTCCTGCAAATTCAGCTATCATTACGACAACATTATCCTCCACTACATTCTCCTGCAGATACATGAGCAATTTTTAACAAATCTTAGAGGAGAGGTAATTATCATACTCACCACTTCGAATCCTTGATACATCATTGTGATCATGGTGTAGCAATCACTATAGTCTCTGACGTCACTCCACTGTCTCCCTCCCGAGACAAACAGTCTCGTTGGGCAGTCGTGTTAGGTGGTCCAAAGGCACATTGTACTTGACTTGTGTCTCCGACACTGGTTTCCGGCCATGTGTGTTCTCCATACGTCTTGTTAGTTGTGGAATTGGTATCGCAGAACCCCTTATCTGGATTGGTACCAGCTCCTATATGTGATATAGCTACGCACAGTGCTCACCTGCTTCAAGAATGATTTCGATGGGTGAAATGATGCCTTCATTCACTAGAACTTCCTTCAATTTAGCAGAGTCCAGCGATTGGCTGCTGTTGTAGTTGTTGAATAGACATTCAATTCTTATTGGCTCGTTTCCAAGTCTAGAGTAGTTATACCAGATGAATGTTAGTCCATTAGATATTCATTGATACCTTTTGCAATTGAATTCTTGGTAGCCTTCTTTTTCCACATCTATTGATGACAAAGCCTAAATACAGAAGGAAATTGCGTAAAATGTAGTTTGTAGTACACCACAAAAGACTGTTGTTTTACTTACAACACTGTTGATGAGCACATCAGACGGTATGGGCTCCAAACTGCCAATGATTGAAAATCGAACATAACTCGACACAGTAGGATCTTCCAGAGCTATGTGTGCAAGACAGAGAAACTAGCAAATGTCTACGATAACATTTTGTCAAGGAACCTGGTATTTCAAGAGTAACTGGTATAGAAGCAGAAGCATCTTCATTGTTGTTGGTCGCAGTACAGGTGTACTCGAATGTTCCACTTGCTATCCCACGGATACCCACTACCAGACTTTGTCTGGAGAAGCCAAGACCTTCACTCAGAGTGTGGGCACATCTCCATAAGGAACACCACTCTCGGATTCCTCAAGGGGGACTTGACTCCCATCTGTAGCAGGGAGTGCAGTGACATGCTTCAAAGATGTTTTTTCTTAGACTCTACCTCGTTTGGTCCACTTTACATTACCAGCATGCTCTCCCTCTGATTGACATGTTAGATTCAATGACCGGCCAGGTTCCATGACGAGAGAAACATCGTTATTCCCATGTCCTAATATATCCAGCTGCGGTGGGATACCTAACCAAAGATATTTAATTTTTGATTCCAACATACACGAACTATATTTCGTCATCTTACCCATGCAATTATCAGGCAAGCCAGAGCCTGTAAAGCCGTGAATGCAAGTGCATTCAAATGAGCCAGGAGAATTTGTACAGTTTGCCATATTGTCACACACCAATGAAGTGTCTTCGCACTCATTAATATCTGTGAAAGAAGACAGACCAATGACAATGTTGTTAAAACAAGTGATTGCTTATCTTACCCCTACACACTCTGCCATCTCCAGTGTACTAGTTTTGACTGTTTGACAAGTGCAACTGTAACTTCCAATCACATTCGTACAGTCGGCATTTTGATGGCATTCGTGTGTACCATCAGAAACACTCATCAATATCTGTTTAATAATGGAAAATAATGTTTTAAATCTTACAACCCCCACTATAATTAACTTTACCACACAACTGATTTCATTCCGGAGCAGTCAGATCTTTGGTGAATCCAACATTACACAAGCAGTGAAACTGCCCACCAGATTTGTACAGGTTGCATCATCAGTGCTGACAGCGATGTTTCAACACTCATCACATCTGTATGAGATTAAAGGAGCACCCACTATATATGGGGGAAGTGTAGTGTACAAGTTCGGCACACCTGAACAAGTTTTTCCATCAGATTCGCGCTTATATCCTTCGTTACAAACGCAAACAAACCCATCCTCGTGCCTCTTATGCTCCCCACAGTCTAACTCTTCTACACTCTGTGAAAAATGGGAAACTTATATAGATTCAGCATCGTATGGATTATATCTTAGCTTACAGTCTGCACAGCAAAGTTTGTCAGGTGATCACAAAACAGGTGACAACGTCCAGTTGATTCACTGTTTGTACTGCAGCCATCTGGCGACCACCGACTCATAGTAACTATAATTAAGAGTACTAATCACACACCGTTTTAATGGTTCTCTCACAAACTCACATCAAAGAAGACACACAGGATCTCATTGGACTGCAAAAGTCAATAAAAACTGAACAAATTTTCGGAGAAACTAAAGATAAACTCACACTTCTCTGCAGTTGAAAATGTAGGGTGATGTTTTCTGAAAGCTGGGTAAAATTGTTGATGGATATTCCAATAACTGTCGTGTTGACTGTCAAGTTATTTGAAGACATGTCTCGGAAGAGGGACGGGGAGTGAACAGTGACAGAAGGATGCTGAGTCTTCAACTTTCCTAAAGAGGGGTCTTGGGAACTGAAAACACTGCCATGCTACTGTCAGGAACATCATTGTACACTTAGAACCGAGTTTATATTTGAATCAGTCACACTCGCTCGAGTCAACCTGTGAATACATCAATAACGCAGGTGAACATAATCTGCAGGCTACATACCCTACTGGCTAAAATGAAAAGACCATCTTGACACGAGGTTATTTCTTCTGACTCGCTGAACTGAGCAAGAAGCGAGCTCCCAATCCTTTCAACTAACTTCCAAGATCCTGGGGAAATTTTGTTTATTGATCTGGATTGCAGGGATTTACTCAGTCTTACACTAGGGAAGAGTTTTGAGAGCTCTGCAGCACTTCTTCGGCACTCCTCTGAGAGCTCGCCCACAGCAGCGAAAAAACTGAGTGCAGAGTCTGTATCATGTGACACGTAAAGATATTGTAAGAACTGAAGTGTTGCCACACTCACTGCTTCATTGACTGTGATGTCTTGTTGCGTTTCAATTACAAGAGCAATACTGTCTCGTGACATGCTGCACTCTCTGCCTGCAAGTTGGTCTCCGTTGGTTTTCCACTGGCCAAAAACACAATGCTGTGCACTTCCTTACCGTGTTGTTTATGACTTCGGCCGGTATGGACAGTCTGCATAAGCAGTGATACTTTACACAAAGTGAAGAGGGAATGCTAACGCAAAGAGTCTAAGAAGATAGTGAATGTTGCTGGGGTGGGTGAGTCAATAACCACAAACGATTCAGTGGTTGGACCAGTTCAATCCGACATGGTCTCATGTCTCCTATAAATATATCGGTCTCTAGAGTAATTTCATCGCACAAGCTGTTCCATGAAGCTCACTAGCATTAATATCTGATGGTTAGAGCCACCACTGTTGTAGGTTCAGGCTCCTCGTGAAGGGTGGGTGTGAGAGAGAACTATT